GGTCCTGAGTGAGGGGCAGCGGTGCCGTCCCGCGCCGTCGGGAGGAACCCAGCTGTGGGACCGTCGTGGCCCGAAGCCGGTCCCGGGCTGTGGGGTTGGCGCCTTTTGTAAAAGAGTTGCGACCTGATGGAGGTGTGGGGTGAAGCAGGACAGGCTCAGAAGAAAATGCCAGGCGGTGCCACTCAGGTTTGGGAGGGAGGTACGAGCTTTCGCTGTCACTTGTCTCAGACAGGCTGCGTTTACGTGCAGGCAGCACGACAGGTCACGTCTGTGGGGGGAGTGGACACCGAGATCTCCGGTGGAAGCATTGATACTTTTCCTAACAAATGGCAGATTTTTACTGTATAATCTTTTAAAACTGTTGATTCTCTTCAGCCACAGTCCAAAAAGGACTAAGCCCAGCAACGTCACCAGCTTTGCAAAAACTAGTAAGCGGGACAGCAAGTAAAGACGTCCACCAAGCTTCACGAGCCAGCTATACTCCTTTCCCAAACCACCTGGAAACTCCTGGTTACAAGACCCCAGCAAGCGAGACACCCATACCCACAACCTAGGATGCTACATCCATCACAGACAATTTACTGCAGCTTCCTGAAAGAAGGAAACCATCTGCTTTCTTATGAATATTCGAGTTACCAGCAAGGCAGTAGTAAACTGGCAGAGCACAGCTGTCTGGAAATTGGATTTGTGAGCCATCTGCAGTAAAGGGGTGTCTAGATAGAGCTGCCAGAGTGGAATCCAGTGGTTACAAGATCTGGGACCAGAACTACTCTAGACTACATAGGTAAAGTAGCTTGTGATGTGCTTTTTGGAAGCAGAGTAGTGCCTCCTGTGGTATAGTTTCCCTTGAAGCTGCATGGATAGGATAGCTCAGGGCTGCTGTAGGAAAAGGATGCTTCCTGCAATGGCAGAGATGATTCTGGACTCTCAGAAAACAGCATCAATTTTCTGAAGACATCTAAGATGGCTGTACATTTAACTACCTTTCTGTACAGATAAGTCTATTTATAAAAAGTACACCTTCCTAAGGTTGAACTGGACTTGCTTCCAGCTTGTCAAACTTCTTTGGTTTTGTACTCTACAGAAGGGGGGATATAACCATATATATATATATATATAGAGACGTGACCCAGTGATGGAGATAAACAGATTGTGTGATCACTAGGATACAGATAATTAGTTTTTAAAAAAATTGTCAGAGCCTGGACTTGAGCTCCACCTTGGGCACCAATAAATCTGTCACAGTTTAAGGCTGGGCATGTTAAAATGGACAATAGATGCTATTAAACCTTTCAATTTCCAAAAGGGGAGAAAAGGAGAGAGAACTGGAAAGAAATTACAACAACTTTAATGAAACCATAGCTATAAAGCAATAAAAAAAAGGACTACCGTAGAAAGGGTACAGAGAAGCTGTGGTTGAGAACCAGCAGCTGTTAGACCAACTTCATGATACTGTTAAAACCAGCCATATGTAAGAGGATCCATTTCCTTCTGCTCTCCTTCCCTTTCTACAGAATAGGATTTGCCTTGCTGGTTGTGCTCAAGCTTTCCTTCACACAGGTTTTGGGAACACTCGCCCTCTTCTGCAGCTGGCAGAAGGGAAGGGACTGTGGCTTTTGGAGTCTGCAACCATGAGTGTTTCAAAACTTCATCTATGCGCAACCTCTGAGACGCATTGGGCTGCAGCAATCGGCAGATGAGATCCTTGCACTCTCCAGTCAGGTGTTTTGAGTCAGGGAAAGGAACCTTGTGTCTTTTCTGAATACGGACCAGTTTCTTGACATTGGGATGATTGAATGGCATTGCAGCATGGAGCATTATATAAAGGATGACACCAAGGCTCCATATGTCTGAAATCCTGGGGTCATAGGGAATGCACTGTAGCACTTCTGGGGCTGCATACGCAGCAGTTCCACAGAAGGTTTCACTGAGAATAAGTGTTCCATTTTTATCCCAAGACAAGGATTTGGAAAAGCCAAAGTCTGACAGCTTGACATTGAGGTCTGCGTCAAGAAGGATGTTCTCGCATTTCAGGTCCCTGTGAGCAAAGTCAGAGTTGTGGCAGTGCTCTATGGCAGAGGCCAGCTGCTGAAACCTGGTGCAAGCCATGTCCTCCTTCATAGCTCCCATGAGCTTGAGGTAGTGCAGGAGGTCTCCCTTTTCTGCCAGCTCCATCACGATGTACACTTTGGCAGATGATGTCTCAAAAATCTCATAGGTTTTGATAATTGAGGGGTGGTGCAGACATCTCAAAGCCTCTACTTCCCTGGGGAGAAATCTTTCCCGGAACTTCTGAGAAGTTTTGCTCTTGTTGATTACCTTGATGGCCACATTGCATTTCAGCCGGTCGCTGTAGGCAGATTTCACTTTGCTGTAAGTGCCTTCTCCTAGGGTGTTGCTCAGGCTATAGCCCTTCTTTCCAAGCACCACAGCCTCATCCATGGTGGGAGAGCTGGGGGAAGCTGCATGAGGTGGTGCTGGTGTGCACCATACATGGTGGCACGTGGCATGCTTATGGTTTTCCTGGCACACCAACACTAGCCACTCTATGATGTCACAGACAGTCACCTCCATGAAGTGGCACTTGGAAGGACCTTTCAGTCCTGCTGTAAAGCTACTGGATGATGTCATGCAGGGCAAAACCTAACATCAGGTTGCTCAGAGGCACTGGTTGTGCTCTGCCTTCTTCATAAAACAATGTTGATATTCTGTTTTGCTAACAGGATGCAAACTTAAATGTTTTCCTTTCCTAAAATCAACCTAAACCTTTCTGCATTTATATTCACATCAGTTGAAATTTTGTTGGTCATCATGTTGTATGTCTCGGATGATCTTTCAGGTCCCACTTGGGCTTGCTTCTGGTGTACATTGGCCTTGTTCCTTGTCAGCCAGCTTTCCTTAAAATGGATGGGATGCTGCTTTTTTTCTTTTCACCTGGACTGTTTTTTTAACGGGCTTTTTAGGTGAGGGAGTTGGCTTCTCCTAAGTTCATTCCCTTGTTAATTCCCATTTTTTAGCTCATATGATTGGCTGCTGCTTTAGGCTTTGCAGCTTGCTTTTTCCTAAATCCCTGTGTGGCAGGGAAGTTATGTGTTGACTGTCAGCATCTACTGTTCCTGAGAAAGGCTCACACCAACACCTTCCTCAAAACTGCTCAGATGATTACTGGTTTGTATGTTGATTGTTTCACTGTAGTAAACCTCTGGGCCTTTTTGTGCTGATTTCAGCTTTTCAACTTTGTTTTTACAGCTGCCATGTTCATGGCTCGAAAGACTTGATGATTGTAGCACACAGGGGCTGGGGACAATCCTGCGTTGTCCACTGGCCTGAGTGACAGTGTCATTTTGAGGAACAGAACTGATACTTCTGACAGCCAGTCCAGGGCTTTTGTTTAGCTTTTGGTTTTTTCCATTCCCCTTCATTGAAACTTGCGGCTACTTTTCGTAAGTAGCCAAAAAAATGCCCTGAGAGCCATTTTAACCATACACAGGCTGCACTCAGAGCTGTGGTTGCTCCAGGATGAACTGACCTTTGAGTGTGGGATGAACACTTCTGCATTCTGTGTGATCCAGCCTGGAGAAGCACCAAGCACCTTTTAGGAGGAAGGAGGCATAGCCAGATGTTGAAGGTTCAAGTTAAACATGAGGAAAAACTTCTTTACTGTGAGAATAACAGAGCACTGGAACAGGCTGCTCAGAGAGATTGTGGAGTCTCCTTTGGAGACATTCCAAACCCATCTGGATGTGTTCCTGTGTGATCTACTGTAGGTAATCCTGCTTTAGCACAGGGATTGGACTAGATGATCTTCAGAGGTCCCTTCCAACTGATGACTCTTATGACTCTATGTATACATTTCTTGCACCATGCCTGAGTACAAGACAACCCATGTAACACTTTTCCTTCAGCTCTGACTAATTCATAGGTCTTTTCTGGATACACTCCCCAAAGGCTACGGTAATATCTCTGCAGAAATGGCAGTCTGATAGCATCTCATGCTTTGTTAATAGTAATTCTACAATTTTGATTTAAGACACAGAATTCTGCTTTCTTAATTCTAAATAAAAAAAAAGATCTGCTTATTTTGGTGAACTTCCATCTTACTGAATTTTGAAGACAAATCACATCACTTCAATGCCACCTCTGACTCAGAAGATAAGAATGCCAGGGAAGAGAGCATACTTGCTGTATTTTGTTGATTCCAGTCCAAACTAGGACACTGGACCATAAGACACACATGTCCATTCAGGATAGATTTTCATAATACAGAGCCATCTACTCAGGCTAATATTAAAATGAATATATGCTTGATTTGTATAATATAATGACTCTTAGCAGCTTATCTACAGTTTACATTAAACTCAGGTACCCTAAAATTTGCAATCAGCTATTAAAAATGCACTCATTGAAACAGTATCTATGTTGCCTATTTAAAGTAAATATAATAATTAAGGTATATCTCATTTTCAGAGCACAAACATGTTGATGTCATAGTTGATTCTTACTTATGGTGAGACCTAACTGCACAATATTAGCATAATAGAACATCCTGGAACTGGGAAAAGATACAATGCCCTACATCTGCTTCAAATGCAGAAAGAACTAACAGGCTTTAATATAATCAAGAACATGAACCTCAAGATTCATCCAAACCCTAAAACGTTTTCCTAATGTAAGGCAACCAATCTATCAGAACAACTGAAAACTACACACTGTTCTGCTACAGCCTTTGCTAAATCTTCTGTAGTTTTTGTTTTTCCAGTTCTAGGGGCACATCCTACATGTAAGTTTAGTGCACTGAATTGGGTTCTGGGTATAAAGTAATGGAAAAAACATAGAAATTTTCATGCTGTTTTGCCAGCTGCTCTAAATTGTACCACAACTTCTAAAAATGCTTCATCTCTGCATTTCCTATGATGGTAAAATTTACTTGCTTCTGGCCAGCTGTAGTTTTCAAATGTGTAGTAATGTATGAAGTTTGTTTCATGTTCACAATAGAGAATAGCTTGCTTTCCACTTTCTAAATCTAAATCGTCTTATTATTTATCACTAATTACAGTTTCATAGAAGATTTTCACAAATTTAAATATTAAAATATTAATACAGGACAAATTCCACCAAAATAAAGAAATCCTATTCTAATTGTGCTTACCAGAATGTAAAAAAATACAGTTCTGGGTAACCTACACTCAGGACTCATTAAAATAACTCAAGTAACTAAATTTTTGCTTATGTAGTACATTCAGTAACTTGCAGTTTTATCTGTGGCATCTGTCTGTTAGTGGATTAATAACCATCCTTGGGATACTGCCAAGATACTCATATCCATACTTCAGTCCAGCACAGATTGTCTTTGTTTGTAGATGCTCTTCCTAAGAAAAAAGGCATTAGTTTTCTAGATGAAATAATTTCTTTAAAACCCACAACTCAACTCTCTCAAGTTCCTTAACATGCTTGATGCTGTTATAAATAACTACATGGTAGACTAATGATTACTCTGAGACACTAGTTTAAATGCAACTCAACAAAACAAAACAAACACCAATTAATAGATACTAAAGCATCAACATGAAAAGACCATTTTTTACATTAAGTGTTACCTAAGAAAAAGATCCTAGTAACCATACTGCATAAAACAATTGTCTTATGTAGCTGCTTAGAAAGCTAACAGATTTTCTAAAAGGTAAACTGTTATGGTTTAAGTGGCCCAGCAGGTTGTTAACACCTGTATGAGGAATTAGAGAGCGGGTCTTTAGGACCCTGAAGGACCCAGGAGGGTTGGAACAGAGGGCTCAGTATTCCCTCCCATCTCCTGCCATACTCTATAAAAGCCAGCAGAACCAGAAGCTCAGCCCTTTTTTACTGTGCCTTTCCTTCCTTGCTGCTGCTCAGAGGTTCTTCAACTCGCCACTTGCTCTCCAGAATCCAACTCTTACCGGGTGCTCTGAGGAGCCCTGGAAGCAGCCTTGCTGCAAGAGACTCCCACCCACCTATTCCTGCCATCACCAAGATCAGTTTGGGATATATCTGTATATAAGTTTATATCTCTCTTCTTTCCCCCACGTGTTACTCCCTTTTCTGTGTTAATGTGAATTTGTTCCAGTTTCCAACCCTGATATCTCTCTTCCTTGTTCCCCTTTTATCTTCCCTTGAGAGGGTGGAGAGGGGATAACAAGGAACAGTTCTGCCCTCCAGTTTGTGGTTTGCCTTGACTATTAAACCAGGACAGTAAAAAAAGTAATCATGACCAATAGCTGTAGTTATGGTCAGTCTAAATACTCTTAGATATCTGATGACCCCTTCATACACATTTTTTTTTCATATTTCACATGCAATGTCTTCTGTATTATGGGAATTCTTATCCTGATTATTGTAAAATACTGTATCATACTGCTACCTAGCACCACCATTGTTATTTTTTCCAATAAATGCAACACACAAGTAACATTGACAAATCAGATTAAAACTTCTAACTGAAAATTATAATCTCTATAGCATTCTCTATGCTGCAGAATCAGTAAACCAAAACAGTCTGAGTGAATAAATTTTGTGTGTAACCCCCCCCCACCCCGCTAATTCAGCAAAGTTACTGAGACTCAGCAGTGATAAAAGAAGTAACTTTAATTAAAAACTGTTTGCAGCTGGCTACGGGACATTTTAGTTAGCAATCCATAAAATGATTGGATATAGGTATTCTCTTATCAGCAGAAATCTTCACAGTAGTTAAACCATTCTTTGTGTCAGCAAGCAAGCAGAAATTGATAAAACTGAACAGAAATTACCTTCTAAAAGGACTGAGAGTTATCACTTACCTCCCAGTAGTACCTAAGTTGGTTTAACCATTCAAAGCCACTCTCATCTCTGAACATCCCTAGCGTGAACATCAAAGCACAACCCGTGCTCCTGGAGTCGCTTAATTCTTATTGGGCAGCTTTCCTCACACCAAGGTGACAACATTCTCAATCTGTCTATAATCTTCTGTTACAGAAAACCCTCTAGTGCCTGAAAAAAAAAATAATGAAAAAAAAGTTGCACACCTAGTCTAAAATATGATTGTTTTTTTCTTACATTACTTTTAATTTCTCTATTAAAAGTTCCTACAATAGTAGTAGAATGCTCTTCATCCACTAGTAGTTCAATACAGGTTTGATTTGGTGTTTTGGGTTTTTTTATCTTTTTTACAGAATCGTATGTAAAACATCAGTGATTGATATATGGAAACAAAACAGCATACAGATTTTACAAAAAAACTTTAAGTTGATAAGCTAAGAAGCTTTAAAGAAATACAGTTGTCTGAACATCAGGTTCTAGCATTTTATAAGGCTTGTGACCAATTTATAGATTAATCATTGTTACATTTTTAAAAATTTTGCTCACCAAGTATGAGGTTTTGGGACCAAAATCAGACACACATTGAAAAGTGGGAAATAATGCAGATTTATGAC